TTCGAGAGTCCAGCGAGGAGATGATCTTCATACTGAAGAAGAAAAATTCTGACGAATGGTGCTCTGAGCTGACTTATATAGCAGTCGGCTCCACCACTTCTGGAGGGCTGAAGCGCCATTTGTTCGTGCAGCTACACAAACATGAACAAATCAGGCTTCAGTATCAGAGTAAACAGGAGTTTCCCCATAAGCGTCCCTGACGGCAACGGGAGAAACCGTTTGATAGTGAACCATGGCTATTACACTTTTACTATAATAAAACCATGGTTAGTTTTCGTAATGGTTGACAGATTTCGTGAGATTCAGCCTAAAAAGAGACATCAATCCAGATCCATAATTGTCAAGGGATGCTGTGGTTACCACAGCAACCAATGGCACAACTCTTGTTATATACATTTCTGTTGCGCAAATGGAAGAGCTAAACTCTATTAGTTTAACTCATCCTGTTCTTCATTTCTCTCAGAAACAAAATAAGTTAAAATCTAAGCCAGTGTTAAGGAGTTCTATGAATTCTCGCGCGCTATAGAATCTGTGAGCGCGTGCCAGTCTGCGCACGAGCGTCAGTTGATTTTCCCTAAAAACCCAGCGCGCGTAGAAAACACGTTCTCGGCCAATAACGCGTGCCAGCGATTGGCAGATCATTTCCAACATTTAGCAAATGAAACCACGTGCGAGCATCTGTTCGCTCCAATCAATTGACGTAAACTGAGGACCTTTGTGGGAGCAATTGCGTTTCCGTGGCGCGGAGGTAGATCTCTATTAGTGAGTGTGGAGCCCATTGAATTTGTGTTGAAAGCGGAATAATACGGTCATATAAATAGTAGGGAAACGGATATTACCGGGCGCGTCTAATTAATCAGCCGTTTAATGCTTATTTGGCAAAATACGGGTTAGACTGTGCTTAGTCAATAGCGTTTTATATGAAAAATAACCTATTTTTACCTGGATGCATGGAGTATTATGCGTTTTCTTTTCTCATTGGACTGTAAATTACGCATGGTTGATATTTTTTGCTCATATTTGGACGTCCACGTATTCCTTTCGTCTTTTTATGACTTGTGACTCAATGAAAACTATATTTTGAAACACGTTTTTTTAGTAGACCACCCAGGACGAGTGAAGATTTTATTCGCCTTTAAATGAGATACTCTCCCATCGCCAATGCCACAAAACTGCGTCTTTTTCTGCCAACCAAGAGCTGTAAAGAAACGCAAGACCCCATCTCTGTGAATACTGCGCGTGCTTCATCATCTCATTCAATTTGCTGTCAGCCAAGAGAGGGGCAACAATAACTTTGAACGGTTATTGTGTCATATTTCCTTCAGTCTCCGCATCATTTTCCACAGATTCCAAGCGGGCAGCTGTTGCAGGTAAGACGTGCCTTCATTTTGTTCCCATCTGATGCGGCTACTGCTGCAACGTGCGCGAGGATCGCATACAGCATAGGTCGCCCGCTCATTATAGCCTTTGCTTTTCGGTTTTTGCTTGATTGCTGTGTGTGAAGATATTTATTATGAGCTAAACAGGGAATATTCATAACGAACATGAGATTTGGAAATGGATACATGTTATGGGGATTGGTGTCGCACAAGCGTGTGTCGTCCGCCACTGGAATTTTAATTTCCTCCCTGAGATCTGCCATGATGCTGCTGTGTGTAGTGTTTGCTTGTGGAAGGGGGGTTAAGGATTTCTACACTGAATAATGTCTAAATGAAAACCTAAAACTGCAAATAGGTGTCCTAAAAAGATAATTTTTAGGGGGTGGTGGGCTGAAAATGTAATTATGTCAGTGTAACAACAATAGAAGTCAATGGAAAGTCCTCACAGTGATGGAAAAACAAGCATGTTTGTTTGTTAACGGCTTGTGTTACTTCTAAATGTGGCGCATTGTCAACACCAGCATCCAAATGCTGCAAAATGCACATAATTAAGCAAATCCCTTAATTTGTTCGCTTATCAAATGACAGTTAGATGTGTTTGTTCATTTCTTTTGTTTGTGTCCATCTGTAAATTACAGCACAAAGCTTTTTTGTACTAGGACTTGTTGCTAACTAACAGACTTTTAAAATCCTAAGCTACTTTAATTTTGTCTCCCAAGGCCTACTGCCCTCTTTCTGCCCTTCATCCCTCCTTCTCCATTTCGGTGTGTGCTCGCTAGTAAAATGGTAATGGGCTGCATATTGGCCTGACATCTGTCATCTCCACCTGTTTGTGGATGGGACGGATGCCTCCCATCCTCCTGAGTCAGAGAAACAGGGCTGATGGTGATGATGATGAGGAGGACGAAGGGGGTGGGGAATGGAGAGGAAGAGGTGGCTGAGTTGAGATGTGTATTGTGCTCGTTTATAGGAAGAAGTATGTAGGATATTTACCGCAAAGGGAGGATGAAACGAGCAAACTAAGCGAGGTGATCCATCTGCCCATCTCAATGTCACATCCTTCTCTATCTCACTCACTGCAGCAGAGCTATTCTAAGAGAACACATTCGACCCACGCTCTGACAAACAGATCGAGAAAAATAAAAAGTGTATGAGAGAGAAGGAAGGATGAGAGCCTGTAGTGTGGCAGGCCGTCTTTGGAGAGTTAGTGTGCATGCGTGTCAGAGGAGTATGTGCAGATGCTGTAGCGCACATCTGTAAGGCAGCCCGTGCTTCCAGGACCCTGTCCCTTCTCTTCACATCATTAGCCACACAAGGCATTGCCGATGGCAACTCCAGAAAAGAGGCGACTCGGTGAGCGTAAAGCACGTTTTAAAATGAAAGGGCATAAGATGCATTTGGTTGCTGCATGTGAGGGGCCGTTGAAAGGTGCGTAGCTTTGATCTTTTTCCCTCATCCCTTCTTCCATAAGGGTCCTTAAAGAGCCATCAGCCTGGATGAAAACGACTGGAGTCCTGGCCAGGAATACAAGTCGTCTTCTTTTCTAAAGCAGATGAACTATCACTGTTTTTGTGAGCCAGAGGCTTTTTGAAAGGATGTTGATTTGCACAGATTGAAGATTTTCTCTTTGACTTTTTGCTACCGAAACCAGTGCCAAACACTAACCGTGCCAACCAGAAGCAAGAATTTATTTCACTAGTATTTTTGCATTTTTGTTGATCCATTTAAGCCATTGAAACTCAATTTGCACCAACATTAGTTCACAATTTTTACCTTATCTTCACTATTAGTCTTTTTAACTATAATAGCATGTAACGGTTCCCAAGGTGAAAAGTTTATGTGTCCATCACTTAGTTTAAGTCAAAAACAACAAGCAGCTTTTGATCCCCAAAATAGGGAGAACAGTGCATTATTGGTTAAACATGCTTTATGTAAGAGTGGCCGATACGAATGCATTAACCTGAAAGAGTTTGGCTCCTGATCGATTGATCGATGGATGGATGGGCTTATGGATGGCTGGCACAAGCCTCATTAAACTTTCCAAAGTGAGCTGCTGCTAATTCTGTTGATTAGTCGTCTGTTCCTCTCACTAAGGCCCGTTTAACTCTTCCTCTCCATCAGATCTCTTTAGTCATCCATCTTGTTTGCTCCTCCCTCTTCTACGGACTCTGCACATTTAGAGCAGAACCCTCAGAAGTCTCTGAAGGGTTTAGATACTGAAGCCATACGTCTCATAGCCATACTAACGTCAAGATCCTTGCCATCATTGCAAGGATTCAGCTTGGTCATTCGGAAAGAACAGGTGCATGGGTATATTCAGGAATATCTTTAGAGCTGTGCATGTTCAATGGTGGTCCAGGTTTGACGTTCCGTAATCTGCCATATTCACCAGCGAGCCATTGACGCATTTACTGTGTTGACAGTGGGACGACGTTTAAAGTTGTCACACTACTTGAAAAGACGCTCTTTAACACTTAGGATAGGTCTTTGGTGTGTCTGCTTGACGATCTCCACGTGTTTCACATTGACGGATGAATCCTGACTTCATGCCTGTTCAGTGGGCTCAACCATGCTGTCCTGCCAGAACTGGGCCCAAGCCCCCATTTGTTTTATTCTGTTGGGTTGAGCTAAATCCAGAGCAGAGACACTCACGCAAGAGGGTCCAACACACATAGACCCTCAAACTTTTTCAAGTTCAACCTTCCATTTCCTCTCTTCCTTTCCTGAACACTTCTTCCTTTCTGGCCTGACTTGTGTCATCAAACCAGGAACTAATATTTACCTGCTGCTTGTTACACTTTGTGAGTGCCCTAACCGACCTACACTCTTCTATAGCCTTCGTAATGAGCCTTTGTCCCGTGGTGCCGCCTTTAGAGAAAAGATCAGCTGTTCCCAATTTCTGAACACTTGCTCGTTCATTGCTTCGTCCTACCTTTATCTCTAGCCACAATGACTTCCTTCTGAAACTCGAAAAGATGAAGTACTTAGTATTTTTCTTGAGAACTGACACTGTTAGCCTGATTATGTGGAATGCACAACAGAACCTCAGTGACATTGAAAGGTATTCTTGTTAGTCTCACAAGACATTCTCATTGCAAAGCAACAACGATTTGAGATTTGTTTACAAGACAACATCAGTTCTTGGAGCTGATGATGACAATTGTTTACAAGTCCATAGAATAGCTGAGTACTAGTAACTGTTTCTTTCTATACGGTTGTTTAGTGAGTTGACAACTGAAGTGCCAACCAGAATAGAGAACATTTGGTGAGACATAGTTTACACTCGCAAACAGAAATGTTTACATGTTGCCCATAAGGTGAACTCCGATTGAGTCTTGAATGAATTGTTAGTGCCATAGATCAGTTCAGTTACACAGACTTAAACAAACCACCTTTAAGAAGAAGTTGTACCCATGACTTTCTGACACTTTAAAAGGTTTACATTGTTAAAATATACATTTTGTTTACAGGACTAAATTGCTTGCAACAAAAGTCAAGATTCAAATATTTGTTCCTGTTGTTTCTCATTTGTGCCATTTTCATATATTTAAATAGAATTTGTTCATTGAGAAGAGTCAACATTTTTAATTTTGTGCCAAATCAAAATTTTCAAAAATTCCAGCTCTCACACATTAAAGCATAAAATTGTATATAGATTTACCTTATTCTTTGAGGTTTATAATTTCCTCAGAAATATGTTTACACCCTAACTGAGTCTCATACATTTTTCTTTAACCCAAACTCCTGCACTTGGATGCGCATTTTGCATATTAAATAATTTGCATACTAGTGTATGCACACGTGAAAGAGAGATTAACTTGTCTACATGCCTTATATATCGCCACACTGACTTGCAATATTTGATAGACATCAGCTTTTTGTAGGCCTCAGAAGTCTTTTGTACTAAGGCTTCACATTTTTTTTTCATCTTTGATAAAATAAAGCCCCTTGTATCAAGATGCCACCCGCTGCCATCTTGCTTTTCTTCCTGTTTGGCCCTGTGGTCTCCACAGTGACTATTACCTCGGAACGCTCCTCCGTGAATGGGGGCCCGGTGCTGCTTCTGTTGCGAGGACGCAGCCGCAAGTTCCCTCAGCCCGATGTGCGGGGCAAGGAGGCAGCTGCCATGGCAGCAGATCCAGAGGCAGCCGAGATCCCTCCGAGACCACTGCCGCAGATTATGATACCCCGCAACGTGACGGCCGATGCCCTGAAGCCCCCACTGGGTGCCGCGCAGGTCGCCCCTCCTCCTCGGCGACTGGTGGACGTGGACGTGTGTCAGGGCTACTACGATGTGATGGGACAGTTTGACAACACTTTCAACTGCACCAAGGGCACCTACATCTACTGCTGCGGCACCTGCCATTATCGCTTCTGCTGCGAGCACCAGCGCAACCGTCTAGACCAAGACTCCTGCACTAATTACCGCTCACCCGACTGGGCCGTCACGGCGGGACCTATCACCCAGCCTCCCATCCGACACGACCCAGATTTCGACCCGCTGCAGCAACAGAACAACAACACGGCTTACGTCATTGGAGGAGTCATCTCTTTTACCATGGCTATGGCCATTGGGGTTAAAGTGGCCTTCCATAAACTGTCTCGACGACCGAGGAACAGAGACATCAACATGCCTAGGTGAGTTAAAGGCCCATTATGACCGGGCTCATGATGTGGAAGGAGACAATGCTGTACACATCTGAGTCCGCATCAGTGACTGCCATCTGAAGAGATCTGTAGTGACTTTGATGTCAGACTCTTTCAGACGCCTTTTGATTCCGTCATGCACTCATCCTTTATTTTTACTGTTTATATCTCTCTCTTCAGAGCGCTGGTGGACATTCTGCGTCACCAGTCCAGTCCAGTCCAGCAAGGAGAGAGGAACAACAGCACGGTCCTCACAACCGCCACCTCCAGCGAGGGCACGCTGGGGCGGACGTCGAAAAGCTTCTATGCTCCCATCCTCCAGAGCAAAGACAACCGGAGTAAGTCTATCTCACACACTCATAAGAGTTTTAGAATTAATAAAAAGCTAATTTGTATGCAAAGGGCATAATTGATGTAGTCACAACGTGTATAAATTTGTAGGGGTATGTATAATCAGATATAAGTAGAAGGGGGGTTTGAATTGTAGAAACAAGGCAGAAATGAAGTGGAGGCATGATTTACTTGACAGATCGACTGTGTGAGTGTATGAGGTATGATGTAGAACAGAGGATGTGTCAGAAATGAGTCAGATTAATTCTGTTTCAGAGGCAAATGATGCTATGTAACCACATGCAACTAGAGCAGCAAGTAAAGGAGGAGGTGTTTTCCACCTTTAAAGCTAAAGCGTTATCGACTAACATCCAAAGTAGGAATGCTCAAAAGTATAAAACTCGGGGGCAACTTTCAGGAAGTGAGGAGTAATCAGTGGCCAGTGAATAAAATAGAAAAATCTTGTAGTAATGCTAGTTGTTTATCAGCTGGTTTTGAGGAATGCAGTAACCAGCAATTACACATATGTCTTAGACTGGTTAAGTGATGTTTTTAAAAGATGCTTTTCATTTTCCCCAAACAGTGTAGTTAAAGTGAATTTAAACGTAAATGTTATTTAGACCTAAAACACGTTCACACTACATGTTCAAAAGTTTGAGGTATGTAAGATTTTTAAATGTTTTTCTATTGTTATTTTTAAATAAGTCTCTTATGCTCACCAAGGCAGCATTTTTTTGATCAAAAATACAGTCAAAACAGTAATATTGTGAAATGTTATTAAAGCGTGAAATAAGTTTTTCAATTATAATACATTTTAAAATAAAACTTACCCATTACTCCAGTCTTTAGTGTCACATGATCCTTTAGGCATATTATTTTCAATGTTGAAAACATTTGTGCTGCTTACAGTAATATTTTAAAACCATGATGCAATGTTTTAGGATTCTTTGAAAATAAGTTCAAAAGAACATCAATAGAAATATTTTGTAACATTATAAATGTCTTTAATGTCACTTTTTAGCTATTTATTTCATCTTTGCTTAAAAGTTTTGAACAGTAGTGTATATGCTTTTGTAAAATTCATAAATACTTTCAAAATGTGTTTTTTAATACTTCATATGCAAGAAAAAAATCACTATAATTAATTTCAAGGATGTAGACAAACTTTAAAACTGGGGAGACCAAAGGTAAAATTTGACTAAGCTGTCATTTAAAAATATATTAAAAGAATAATATTATGAGGATGCACCCCTAGTTGTTTGTGGTATTTAGCCTTGATTTCACAGTTGGTGTTTTTTTAGGATTGAGTCCATTTTGTCTTGAATTGTCTGTTTTCACTCTCAACTTTTCAATGTTTGTCTACAATTGCTAAATGAAACCCATGCTTTTTAAATATGCTGCAGGCAGTCTGTCCAATCAGTGATGAGAGTCTTTTAGTGGCACCAATAAGTTGTGAAAAAAAAAAGGTTCACCATTGTCGAAAAAGAAATATAATAAGACAAAACTGCATCACTGACATAAGTGCTTGCAGTCTAGACTGCTTCTTTCGTTATAACTGGAGCGTTATTTTTGCGTTGTATTTTTCAATTGCAGTACTGATACATATTTGGCAAATTCTCTAAAAAGAAATGTGGTGCAGGCCACTGAAAACCTTGTTTCTAAGTTGAGATATTAAACATGCAAAGAGGCCTCACATATATTTTATGAACTGGGAGTGGATCAGTGTTCACTCTGCTCTCTTGCAGCTGGGAAACACAGTTTTGGCCAGACTGGGTCCAGTCCTAAACACACAGCTACTATCGGTAAGCCAAGGAGCTTAGGCAGAGTGTGCGAATGTGTCACTTGTGTGAGAGCGCCAGTAAGAAAGCTTCAGATTTGTCTGTGTGTATTTGTCACTGCCTTTGCTTTGGCTTGGTCTTGTTGGTTCGAGTGTGTTTGCTCGTGACCTCCCACTCTGTCGCTACCCTGAGCTATTTTCTTGTTGTTTGTCCTGCACCCAGCGCTGTTTGCACCAGTCACCAAAGCTTCAGTAAATATGCTGGCATGCATAGTAGCAGAATGCCAAAATTATGAAGAAAAAAAAGCGTCTTTTCTTCATGTTTATGTATGTTATATATTCATTTATGTTTATCTTATACGATAAAAAGAAAGCATATGAATGTGAAATTTAACCAATATATTGGGAGAAAAAATACTGATGTTCTGGATTGCACCTTCTGTTTTCACAGTGGCAAAATGAAAAATTATCTATCTATCTATCTATCTATCTATCTATCTATCTATCTATCTATCTGTCTATCGTTCTATCTATCGTTCTATCTATCGTTCTATCGTTCTGTCTATCGTTCTATCATTCTATCTATCATTTTGTCTCTTTCTATCTATCGTTCTATCGTTCTGTCTCTATCTATCGTTCTATCATTCTGTCTATCGTTCTGTCTATTGTTCTATGTTTTATCGTTCTATCATTCTGTCTATCGTTCTGTATTGTTCTATGTTTTATCGTTCTGTCTATCGTTCTATGTTTTATCGTTCTATCATTCTGTCTATCGTTCTATCATTCTATCTATCGTTCTATCTATTCTGTTTTATCGTTCTCTCATTCTGTCTATCGTTCTATCATTCTATCTATCGTTCTATCTATTCTGTTTTATCGTTCTCTCATTCTGTCTATCGTTCTATCATTCTATCTATCGTTCTATCTATTCTGTTTTATCGTTCTCTCATTCTGTCTATCGTTCTATCATTCTATCTATCGTTCTATCTATTCTGTTTTATCGTTCTCTCATTCTGTCTATCGTTCTATCATTCTATCTATCGTTCTATCTATTCTGTTTTATCGTTCTCTCATTCTGTCTATCGTTCTATCATTCTATCTATCGTTCTATCTATTCTGTTTTATCGTTCTCTCATTCTGTCTATCGTTCTATCATTCTATCTATCGTTCTATCTATTCTGTTTTATCGTTCTCTCATTCTGTCTATCGTTCTATCATTCTATCTATCGTTCTATCTATTCTGTTTTATCGTTCTCTCATTCTGTCTATCGTTCTATCATTCTATCTATCGTTCTATCTATTCTGTTTTATCGTTCTCTCATTCTGTCTATCGTTCTATCATTCTATCTATCGTTCTATCTATTCTGTTTTATCGTTCTCTCATTCTGTCTATCGTTCTATCATTCTATCTATCGTTCTATCTATTCTGTTTTATCGTTCTCTCATTCTGTCTATCGTTCTATCATTCTATCTATCGTTCTATCTATTCTGTTTTATCGTTCTCTCATTCTGTCTATCGTTCTATCATTCTATCTATCGTTCTATCTATTCTGTTTTATCGTTCTCTCATTCTGTCTATCGTTCTATCATTCTATCTATCGTTCTATCTATTCTGTTTTATCGTTCTCTCATTCTGTCTATCGTTCTATCATTCTATCTATCGTTCTATCTATTCTGTTTTATCGTTCTCTCATTCTGTCTATCGTTCTATCATTCTATCTATCGTTCTATCTATTCTGTTTTATCGTTCTCTCATTCTGTCTATCGTTCTATCATTCTATCTATCGTTCTATCTATTCTGTTTTATCGTTCTCTCATTCTGTCTATCGTTCTATCATTCTATCTATCGTTCTATCTATTCTGTTTTATCGTTCTCTCATTCTGTCTATCGTTCTATCATTCTATCTATCGTTCTATCTATTCTGTTTTATCGTTCTCTCATTCTGTCTATCGTTCTATCATTCTATCTATCGTTCTATCTATTCTGTTTTATCGTTCTCTCATTCTGTCTATCGTTCTATCATTCTATCTATCGTTCTATCTATTCTGTTTTATCGTTCTCTCATTCTGTCTATCGTTCTATCATTCTATCTATCGTTCTATCTATTCTGTTTTATCGTTCTCTCATTCTGTCTATCGTTCTATCATTCTATCTATCGTTCTATCTATTCTGTTTTATCGTTCTCTCATTCTGTCTATCGTTCTATCATTCTATCTATCGTTCTATCTATTCTGTTTTATCGTTCTCTCATTCTGTCTATCGTTCTATCATTCTATCTATCGTTCTATCTATTCTGTTTTATCGTTCTCTCATTCTGTCTATCGTTCTATCATTCTATCTATCGTTCTATCTATTCTGTTTTATCGTTCTCTCATTCTGTCTATCGTTCTATCATTCTATCTATCGTTCTATCTATTCTGTTTTATCGTTCTCTCATTCTGTCTATCGTTCTATCATTCTATCTATCGTTCTATCTATTCTGTTTTATCGTTCTCTCATTCTGTCTATCGTTCTATCATTCTATCTATCGTTCTATCTATTCTGTTTTATCGTTCTCTCATTCTGTCTATCGTTCTATCATTCTATCTATCGTTCTATCTATTCTGTTTTATCGTTCTCTCATTCTGTCTATCGTTCTATCATTCTATCTATCGTTCTATCTATTCTGTTTTATCGTTCTCTCATTCTGTCTATCGTTCTATCATTCTATCTATCGTTCTATCTATTCTGTTTTATCGTTCTCTCATTCTGTCTATCGTTCTATCATTCTATCTATCGTTCTATCTATTCTGTTTTATCGTTCTCTCATTCTGTCTATCGTTCTATCATTCTATCTATCGTTCTATCTATTCTGTTTTATCGTTCTCTCATTCTGTCTATCGTTCTATCATTCTATCTATCGTTCTATCTATTCTGTTTTATCGTTCTCTCATTCTGTCTATCGTTCTATCATTCTATCTATCGTTCTATCTATTCTGTTTTATCGTTCTCTCATTCTGTCTATCGTTCTATCATTCTATCTATCGTTCTATCTATTCTGTTTTATCGTTCTCTCATTCTGTCTATCGTTCTATCATTCTATCTATCGTTCTATCTATTCTGTTTTATCGTTCTCTCATTCTGTCTATCGTTCTATCATTCTATCTATCGTTCTATCTATTCTGTTTTATCGTTCTCTCATTCTGTCTATCGTTCTATCATTCTATCTATCGTTCTATCTATTCTGTTTTATCGTTCTCTCATTCTGTCTATCGTTCTATCATTCTATCTATCGTTCTATCTATTCTGTTTTATCGTTCTCTCATTCTGTCTATCGTTCTATCATTCTATCTATCGTTCTATCTATTGTTCTATGTTTTATCGTTCTATCATTCTATCTATCTATGATCTGCCAATCTTCAAGGCCCTTTATTTTTTTCAAGTTGAAATGTTTAATTTCTTTAAATGCTACCTCAATTCAAATTCATACTAAAAAATAGAATTTGAATTTAAAATGCATTGTCATTTCAGTTTCTAAATGGTTCACATCCCAGATATTTTGTCTGTTATTTTTTTAATTTCTTTTCTTTTCTTTTATTATTTTGCTTCTGGGAGGGTGGGTGGTGGAAAGAAATTTGTAAAGCCAAAAGAGGAATTTTGTTTATTAACACATCTTGTATAATGTACATTTTTCAGTTCTTCCTCTTCTTTGGATGGATAGAATATTTATATGCCACTTATATCATTAAATATAGTGTGTATATATATATATATACTATATTTATGTATATTTTATATATTTATATTTATTTACTATATATATATGTATGTATATTATATACTATATTATGTATGATATTTACATACAATATTTTGTAACATATATGTGAGAATCATAACAGTTTTATTCTGAAGTAATATTAAAAGCCTTTAACTTCATGAGACACAATAACACAAATTGCATGCCAGGGTGAATTTGGGCTGGTGGGCTGAACTGGACTGCTAACTTCAAGGTACCTAAGTTGTAAATCTCAGCAAGATGATCTATGAACTGGAGAGTTGCTGAGATCCCCTTGTGACCACTGTGCCCTTGACTACATTTAATCTGCAGTGCTTAACCCAAGGTTGCTCCGGGGGGACTCTCCCTGTAGTACGTGCAGAGCAAATTACTTATAAAAGTGTCAGTGGAACAAATTACTACATGAATAAGGATATTATCATTACATAAGGATATAATAAATTTAGTGGAACGACGAATAAGACAATATTCTAGTCACATATCTCTACACAAATACTCCAGTTCCATTGTATTCTAGGTTATTATTAGACATCTGCCTTTGTCATTCAGAGACTCGGGATACAGCTTCAGTGTAATCAGACACATATATCATTTAAATCATTTTTAGACACATAAATCATTTAATCAGACACACATTCTGCATTCGACCCAGATAGATATGCTTGAACTATGAACACATCAGTTGTTGGTGTTTGTCTTACTGTCTTTTGTTCTTCTCTCTTAGAGAGAGTTCCACGCATGAACAACACCCAGCTGGCCTCCACAGGAACACTGCTGTCCAGCAAGCACAATAATTCTGGCTTTCACCCTTCCTTCTCTCACTCCTTCCACAACCTTGCCCAGCTACCTCCATCATACGAGACCGTCATGAAACCAGAGCTCAACCGCTACAGTTCCCTCAAGAGACTAGGTGAGTGTGCGTCTGAAAAAGAGAGTGTGTAATTTCAGAACTGCTACTACCGGTACTCAGAGGGTCTTTGTGAGGGAGTGTAGCATGGGGTCAACTGCTGCTGTTTTAGGAAGGATGTCCTGTGGCATTGTAGATTTTTTTACATGTATAATTTCATCAGCATGTTGGGGAACAAATATTTCAGTTTGATCATATTTATATTCAATCAATGCTTGAAAACTAAAATTGAAAGAATTTGGAAATTACTACAACAAAAAGGTGACTTACAGTCAAAATGGCTTTTTAAAAAGAGTTGAGATTAAAGGAGTAGTTCACTTTCAGAATGAAAATTCTGTCATCATATACCCCCCCCCAAATTGTTCCAAACCTGTATGAGTTTCTTTCTTCTGTTCAACACAAAAGAAGTTATTTTGAAAAATGTTGGGATCTGAACAGTTGATGAGCACCACTGACTTCCATAATATTTTTTCCCCCTACTATGGAATTCAATGGTGCTCATCAACTGTCGGATCCCAACATTTTTCAAAATATCTTCTTTCGTGTTCAACAGAAGTAAGAAACTCATACAGGTTTGGAACAAGTGGGGGGTGAGTAAATGATGACAGAATTTTAATTCTGAAAGTGAACTACTCCTTTAAAGGGATACTCCACCCCAAAATGAAAATTTAGTCATTAATCAGTTACCCCATGTCGTTCCAAACCGGTAAAAGCTTCGTTCGTCTTCGGAACACAATTTAAGATATTTTGGATGAAAACCGGGAGGCTTGTGACTGTCCCATAGACTGTCAAGTAAATTACACTGTCAAGGTCCAGAAAAGTATGAAAAGCATCGTCAGAATAGTCCATCTGCCATCAGTGGTTCAACCATAACGTTATGAAGCGACGAGAATACTTTTTGTACGCGAAGAAAACAAAAATAACGACTTTATTCAACAATTCGTCTCCTCTATGTCTGTCCGCATCACCGTAGCACCATTTTGGAGAATATGGGACGAACGCAGGCAGCTTATGCTCTTCTGTGTCAGCCGCGCCACAAGGATGTGCTGTTTTCTTTCAAATCACAGCGTAAATACACATAGAAAACGTATCCTTGTGGCGCGGCTGACACAGAAGAGCATAAGCTGCCTGCATTCGGAAGAACGAAGCTTCTATGGGTTTGGAACGACATGGGGGTAAGTGATCAATGACAACATTTTCATTTTGGGGTGGAGTATCCCTTTAACCTCTATTATACCTAGCATTACCATACATTTCATATTCGGATACTCTCTGTATATTTTAGCCAGATTACATTTTACACCTTCAACTCTAGTGTGACTGCATGGTGTGATCTCACTTTACCACACAAAATGCAAATCTCCACATACATAATACAAGAGAGGTTATGTTAAACTGACATTATATCAGTTAAATCCGAATTTAAATAAATGTTATGAACATTGATGGATAATTCAGAATTCTTTCCATCATGTCATGCTTTTACTTTCTTTATGAACCCTGTAGTTTGTTTAAATAATTTTGATAAATAATCAGACTAAAGATAATGCATTAATAATAATAATAATAATAATTCTTTACATTTATATAGCGCTTTTCTAGGCACTCAAAGCACTTTACATTGTCAGGGGGTATCTCCTCATCCACCACCAGTGTGCAGCATCCACCTGGATGATGCGACGGCAGCCATAGTGCGCCAGAATGCCCACCACACACCAGCTTACTGGTGGAGAGGAGACAGAGTGATGAAGCCAATCAGTAGATATGGGGATTGTTAGGAGGCCATGATGATCAGAGGCCAATGGGCAAATTTGGCCAGGATGCCGAGGTCACACCTCTACTCTTTTCGAAAGACATCCTGGGATTTTTAATGACCACAGAGAGTCAGGACCTCGGTTTAACGTCTCATCCGAAGGACGGTGCTTTTTGACAGTATAGTGTCCCCGTCACTATACTGGGGCGTTAGGACCCACACAGACCACAGGGTGAGCACCCCCTGCTGGTCTCACTAACACCTCTTCCAGCAGCAACCTAGTTTTCCCAGGAGGTCTCCCATCCAGGTACTGACCAGGCTCAGCCCTTCTTAGCTTCAGTAGGTAACCAGTCTTGGGCTACAGGGTGATATGGCTGCCGGCCCTTAATGCCGGGCATTAAGAATCATGAACTAAAAATGAACAATTTTTACAGCATCTAGTTTAAAATGAATTCATAAATATATACTTGTTCTTTGTTATTAAAACATTAAGATATTGATGTTAACATATACTTTGTTCATTTTAAAATATATGCTTTATTTACATTAAATATTAAGTATTGAAATATAAAAAAATTGTAGTACAAGTAAATTAACATTAACCACCATGAATAAATGCTGTAAAAGTAATGTTCATTGTTTGTTCATAAGGCCTAATGCATGATCTGTTTATGAACTGAACCTAATTGTGAGGTGTTACCAAAAAATCTGCAATGCAGCGTTTTTAGCGATTATTTTTACCATTGCATATTACATGCATAGATGAATGCAGAAAACACATTTGCATGTTACACCTTCATTAAATGTGGTTTACATCTGTCCCAGACCAGAGGTTCAATCACATTGCATCGTTTACAGTTTTTCTCAGTCGCTTTGGTGCATTTCTCGAATCATCCTTAATATTTGCAAAGAAGTATGTGCATTTCTCAAAACAGTTTGTACAAACAGCACCACACAATGGATTACCTGCAAAAGCCTGTAACTTACTCAAAATCTTTAGTTCGTCTCTCAAAAGCAAGTATTTATGTCAATGAACATATCAGTGCCATCAGAATGAAAAGTCCTTGTGTCATTGTTCACAAACAAGATAGTCAAAATGCTTAGTCATGTTGTCAATATAACAGTGCACTTTGTTAGTATTACCTGATGTAAACTATGGCAACAGTTTGGATGACAGTTACTGTATTGAAATGCAGAAGGCTGCACTTCTTATGTATGTCATATATCCATTTCAAAAGTACAAATTTACACATTATTGTATGTGGGATATTGATTGAAAGAGACTAGATAGGATTCACAGTTACACTTTACTAGTGGTCTGACAAAACAAAACGAAAAAACCCAAAAAACCTTAACAACGTCAATGTGATAGAAAATAAATATGGGCACAAAGGCGAAAATAAAAATGAGAAAGTCTATTGTCAGAATTTGTAACTCTTGTGTTGTCCTCTGTCTATACAGTATAAGCTTTCCAACTGAAGATTCATGAGATGAACCTTTAAGCTATTTCAGAGAAATGGTTTATCATTGGTTGAGCTACATTCTCTTCATTAGTGAAAGTCAAGATTCACTTGCACAATTCATGCCAAATTTACAAAAAGTCTAATAATAATGTGTAAAAAATGTGCTTGACAGTTTATGACAACTAGATGAACCATTTTGCATTTAATGACTTATACGATGAACTAAAGACTAGATGTTTTGAGGGGTAAGACTATTGCACAGAAAAATACATTTTGAGCAACATGACATTAGCAACTGATCATGTAGGAAACCGCATACAAATGTACATAATCAATTGCATGAATGTACCAAAGCAATCGCAACTTGTTCAAAAGAATGAGAAACTGCTTTTATGATGTGCACAAGTTACTAGATGATGTGGAGGTTGAACAAGTAGTTTTGAGAATTTCATTTCTGATCTGAGAAATGCACCAAAGCGACTGAGAAAAACTGTAAAAGTAAGTATTTATGACAATGAACATATCAGTGCCATCAGAATGAAAAGTCCTTGTGTCATTGTTCACAAACAAGCTTAGTCATGTTGTCAATATAACAATGCACTCTGTTAGTATCACCTGATGTAAACTATGGCAACAGTTTGGATGACAGTTACTGTAGAAGGCTGCACTTCTGTATGCCATATATCCATTTCAAAAGTACTGTATGTGGGATATTGATTGAAAGAGACTGGATAGGATTCACAGTTACACTTGAGCTATTTCAGAAAACTGGTTTATCATTGGTTGATCTACATTCTCTTTATTAGTGAAAGTCAAGATTCACTTGCACAATTCATGGCAAATTTACAAAAAGTCTAATAGAAATGTGTAGAAAATATGCTTGACAGTTTATGACAACTAGATCAACCATTTTGCATTTAATGACTTATACGATGAACTAATGACTAGATGTTTTGAGGGGTAAGACTGTTGCACAGAGAACTATGTAATACATTTTGAGCAACATGACATTAGCAACTGATAATGTAGGAAACCGCAGATAAATGTACATAATCAATTGCATGAATGTACCAAAGCAATCTCAACTTGTTCAAAAGAATGAGAAACTGCTTTTATAATGTGCACAATTGACTAGATGATGTGGAAGTTGAACAAGTAGTTTTGAGAATTTCATTTCTGATCTGAGAAATGCACCAAAGCGACTGAGAAAAACTGTAAAAGTAAGTATTTATGACAATGAACATATCAGTGCCATCAGAATGAAAAGTCCTTGTGTCATTGTTCACAAACAAGCTTAGTCATGTTGTCAATATAACAATGCACTCTGTTAGTATCACCTGATGTAAACTATGGCAACAGTTTGGATGACAGTTACTATTACTTGAAATGCACAAAGGCGAAAATACAAAATTAGAAATGCAAACACAGGAAACACCAGAATGTTGCTTTTGCATGCAGCACTGTACGAGGAATTGCAGTGCAGTCTGTCTACACCTCCTGACGTGCCAGTCTGTCGGCCTACAGATTTTCATCTACATCACAACGAATATATTTGCAACGTGGAATTGGAGTCATGTGAACCATCTCACAACTTCATATATGTGGCTGAGGCTGGCTTCAACCTGACCAAAAGCAGAAGGCGTGGTTGAAATGTCATCGGCCACAGAGCTTCTGTTGATTTACCAGGCCAACAGGGAGGAAATATCCATTGTCAGAATTTATAACTCTTGTGTTGTCCTCTGTCTATATATGCTTCTCAATTGAAGGTTCATGAGATGCACCTTTGAGCTACTTCAGAGAACTGGTTTATCATTAGCTGATCTACATTCTCTTCATTAGGATGTGCACAAGTGACTAGATGATGTGGAGGTTGAACAAGTAGTTTTGAGAATTTAATTTCTGATCTGAGAAATGCACCAAAGCAACTGAGAAAAACTGTAAATGTGGTCAAGTGCAATCTGATCACCAAAATGCTTGGTAATGGCAGGTGTAATGGGTGAAATTTATGAAAGAAACTAATTTTCATATTTCTTAACTACAGAGAAAAACTTGGATGAATATTCCGGATATTACACCTCCAGGCGAAGGCCAGACAATGCACCACCCAGCTTCCACTCCTCCCAGCACCACCTGCCCTGGGGTGGTGACTTCACACTGGGTGCCCGAGGTACCCTCCCGCTAAACACTTCCCACACGCGCATCCACGTGCCCAGTTCCACTTCCACCCCCAACCCCTACCCATTACCCCAGATGCAGTACAACCCCACATTCGACACGATGAGTAAACCGCCTCGCCGGGTGATGTCCCAAGAACAGCTTCTGGCGCTGGGGGAGGGGAACCCTCTTTCACGCCTCTCCAAGAACCAGCAGCATCTGTATTACAAACCCATGACCACCAGCAAGAGCTCCAACACCCAGACTTTGCGCAAGTCTCACGAACGCCTCCTGGTGTCTCCGGACCGCCTGGAGGAGCGAATGATGGGTGATTACGGCGGGATGGTGCCCACCATGTCCCGTCTCACCCACCACCATAAAGCGCAATCCCAGCAGAACGTGTGTGTGACGCCCTCGCTCGACCGCCATCACATGATCAAAATGAATTCGCACCCTACCTCCGGCCGTGAGCAAGACCACACAGTCGCCACCATGTCCTCCGGTCATGGGGCCGGGAGTTTGGGATGGGGGGAGGTCCACGGCTCCGGAGGAGGACCCGGAGCGATGGCGCACAGCGCTCGACGGATGGCCTTCGCCTCGAAACGCCAGAACACCATTGAACAGCTGCATTTCCTCCACGGGGGAGGTGGGGGAGGGGGCGTAGGGGGTGGAAGTCAGGCGCTGAGGACGGGGAGCAAGAACGAAGTAACCGTGTGAGCGCAAAAAGAAAGATAGTAAGGAGATGATGGATAGATGAGGTGTGATTGCGCAAACCGAAGGGTGGGAAGATGAAGTGTAAAAAAGGCTGAAGACAGAAACAAAGAATGGAAAGGAGGAAGGAAATAAGAAAGGGGTCAGAAATTAGGCCCATATGAAGGGAATACACAATGTATTGCTATTGAGAGAAAGAGGGATGTAAAAACTATAGCATAAGTGATTCTGTAGATCCCTAAATTGCCAAATTCTCAATAAATAGAAATGTGAAGAAGGGCCCAGGTCTCCTCTGACCTGTGAGTAGCAAATAGTGTTTCCATGGCACTATTCAGACATGATCTGAGGAGATACCAAAAGGAAAAGATTAATTATTAGAATAGGCAATGTTTTCTCTAGTTAGTACATTCCAGCTGATGTAAAAAATTGTTTTAGGCGTTAATTTGTTTTTTCCTGAATCCAATGATACAGTTGACCTTGCCTCCAAATTTTTGGTTTCATTCAACGCAAAGTCATTCGCAAAGAGGTGTGTCACATTCATCAGTAAAATAAGGGAACAATGAGATATACTGGATGAAACTGACAAGTGTCCAGTAGTACACTGAATTACCTCACGGAAACAATGATTTGACCAGTCTCAAATCTTATCTGACTTGACTTGGCAATGGATTATGACTTGGGGAGTACTGTGCACATTAAGCAGTTTGCCATCAAGTGAAGAAAATACTGGTAATTCATCAGAGAGAAGAACTTGAGGGCTTGAAAAATGTCACTCATTTTGTGACCTGACACTTTAGTCTGCACTGATAATATAAATCCAAATGCCAACAGCCATATTAGAGCTTATTCATATGGAGTATAATGGAGGAAAACAGTCATTGGGACACAGGTGTTATACTGACGATCAGAGATTTTTAGCCTCCTATACTGAGACTGCATCAAAGCTGACAAGAATACTTGTGGGTTTGATTTTTTTTGCATTGTGGATAACATTTTGGCTGTTTTATGATATTATCAAATGGCTGTCAGATTGATGGGTAAATCAGGTCTGGACTAAAAATGCTCGAGCAGACAGACATTTGGAAGTTTAATTCAGCCATTGAAATCTGATAGAAGTCATGCCTCTTTCTTGCATGTTTGACCAATCAGAGAACAGCTTTGTATGACGTCCTGGAGTCATTACAGATGTTCTGTTATTTATAAGCATTAAGAGCAGAGATTTAATCATGGGCATGCAGTAATGTCAAATAAGACAGCATACTCTTCATACTTAATTTGCAACTCGAGCTGTTGTATTGAAGGGTGAAAGGGTAAAGAGTTTGGTTATACAATGGACAATTTATTCCAAGGGCTATTCTGAAACTTCATGTGTGTCTGTGCTTCCGTGTTCTGACGGCTTTTTATCTTTTCCCTGTGACACGGCTGTGCGGAACATAGGCTATATGCCAATGAGTGTACAAAACAGAAAAACAGAACAAAATCTGCAAAGCTACTTCAAACACTCTGTCACACTAGGATGCATTATTATCTAACCAATGAGTTAGGATTTAGGATTAAAAGGTGTCTTGTTTATCTATATTATATTCAAGAAAAATAAATGTCTTTTTTGTTAGCAATTTCTGTGTTTTTCAGCTGTCTCCACATCAAATGGACACTGTTGTGGTGGAATGTCTGAGAATGACCTGGCTGAGCAAGATTATTGGGCCATAATATAGTATTTTAGATCACTCTGCAATGTTTAAGCTTTTATTAACTTTAACTGAATTTAAATACGTCAAAAAAGGTTTAAAAAAATCAATTAAATCCCGAATGTTCAAATATGTACACATGCCAATTTATGTGCATATATATATATATATATATATATATATAGTCATCAATATTATTCATATTCTTAATTATAAACATTGTTTTGTTTATTCTCTCTGACTTTAGAAATTGTTTTTATTCTGTTTTTATTCTGTTTATATGAGTTTCCAGTGGATTCTAACCTTTGTAACTCTACAAAAAAAGCAGATGCAATCATAGTGAAAAGACAAAACGCATGAAGATGTCAAAGCCAGTGTTGATGTCATATTGCTGACTTCTGATGTCAAGGTGTGTATGTGTCCAGTTTGTGTGTCTGTATTTGTGTGCTTGTGTGTATTTCAGTGTCTATTTTGGAATGCTTTATCTCGCATTTTATCTGACTTTTGCTTTGTGTGAAGTCAGAGAATGTGCATTTCAGAAAACCCAAATTATAATTTTATTTTTTAAGTGAGTGTCTCTTTGAATGCAAAACAAAAACAAATAATAATAATAATAACATTTTCCATTGCTGCATTCACCAAAGTTACGGAAAACAAAATAACAAGAGTGTTTAAGACTTTTTTTTTTAATTTTGTAATATAAATGTTTTTTTGCAATGAGATACATAAACCTTGTTGTAAATTTTCTGGGGGGTAATGCCAAAATGCAATGCATAAAATATTTACAGCAAAAACTTTAATTATTATTATTATTTTTAAATAAAATCCTCGCCATTAAGAAAGACATTTCCTGGAGATTGATGTGTACTTGTGTATTTTTTCCCTCATGAATTATTAAACATGTTGGTTGGTTTTACATGTTATGTTTTTGAGATGTTTACATCCTAATATATTATCCCCCGGTTTCACAGACAAGGCTTAAGCCTAGTCCTAGACTAAAATGTAAGTCTGAGCTGTTTCAACTGAAAGAAACTTGCACTGACTGATCTTAAAATATATCAGTGCCTTTGTTTTGTCTCAAGATGCGCACCAGTAATGTTTTTTTCTAAGGCACGTTTATAAAAATTACTTAAATGTCCTAATTGAACTATGGCCTAATCCTGGCTTAGTCTAAGCCCTGTCTGTGAAACCGGGCATATGTGCTGAGTATTTTGATCTTGTATTAGATTAATTGTTTGTTTACACTGGGTGAAACAGCCAGTGATCTGTTAAACAGATGCAACTCTGTTTATAGATTTGACTGCTATAATGACTTAGGGTCAATTTGGATTAGTATTTGTGGATGGATGTTAACAATGAAAGAGAGAGAGAGAACTATGTAATGGCTGATGTATTGTCTCAAGGTTCAAAGTTGGTTCCGCACATTTGCATACCATCAATCTCAGCTTCTCATTCACTTGCATTCATTCATGTTTTTCATTTTCTTTATATTTGGTGGTCTAAAATTTTGTTTAAACAACTTTTTTATTGATTTATTTAGTTTTCCATTGCTATAATGTGAATTATACTTTTATTTGACATCAAATCCTTTTTTCTGCAGTATAATATTCGGTTTTATTGTATTTATTGATCTAAAGTAGGCCGTTTCAGGTTCTTAAATGGTTTCTGAGGGAGACGGACGAGGCATCACCGGCATTCGCCATTTTGAGGGGCAGGGTGGGCGAGGACCTTATGTTCGAACAGGGTGGGGGGAGAGACGGCGGCATGTTGGTAAAATGGCTTCAGAGAGGTGCTGTGCACTGCATCCTTTCCAAAATATATGTGCTGTCTACAAATGCTGTGCGCATTCTCTCTCGTTCTCTCACAAGGTGACATAATTGTTCTAATTACTCTGGCTCGCATATGTGCGGAACAGCTGTTCCGACTGGCTATTTTGCATTAGTCAGCGCGCAGCGCGAGAGAGATGAAATGTGTTGTTTTTGAGTCTCGCGCGGGCAGCTCGTGAAATGTGTGCTTTGAAAATGTGTTACTACGTCACAAAACACTGGAACATTTAGAACGCGTCGCGCGCCATTTGTTTTCGGCGCTTTTAGACTGGTTTACTAACCCGTAACATTTACGAGACTACGAATTCCGTAAAATACAAACTTCTGATCATGTCCCTGTCATCCAACTTCAATAAACTCAAATAAATTACAGCATGAACCCATGAATGAAAAAGTCTTTCTTTGACTCCACTTCATCACGAACTGATTTCAGTGCGCTAAGCAGTATAATGTCGGACGTTTTAACGTGTAACACCACCCGGAACTTGTATAACTGCCCGGAAACGACCACTGTGAGGCGAACAGAAGTACCCGAAGGAAGACGGGGGCACTAAAAATTGACACGGGGCGGAAAATATTTGGCCGACCATAATCCGCATAAAAATTAAGCGGAAAACGGCCTGGAAGGGCAGTTTCAGTCGAAATCGTATGGTGAGAACGCCATCGCGCGAGGTTGAGCGTTAGCGAGCGCAGCCAGCGGAAATTGGGGTTTGTTTAACGGATCGAAAGCGATGGAGAGGCCTGCGAGAGTGTTTTTCCACGGGATGAGTAAAAATGACCTGCTAACCTGAAATCGGAAACCGCCTTTGTGCACGTCTACGCTTTCGGCGCCCTTTTTAGCGTTATTATTTTCACGCATTGCTCTTCAAGAGGACTTTCTCCGTTCACGAGCAGGTGGGATACCAAAGCTTTTGAATGCATTCTTTTGCAATGTAAAAGGGTACGACGTCTTTATTTAGCTAGCTAAGAGGCTAGCAGAGTGAGGTGGGCTTATAGCCTGAATTCATCTGACGGGATGTCTGCACTCACAGACACTTGCTTGTTTATGTTTGTTTTTCTGTCATGTTGTTCCTCTACGCAACGCGTAGCATGCGGACGTTTGAACTAAATCAGTGCATGATAACGCCAAGTTGTTTGTAATTTTAACAGGTCTGATTTTGCTCTAATTTACTATTTTGAAACTTTTTGCTGTGCCATAGAGGGATGTGATTGAAAAAGGGAATTCGGCTCTTCCCCTCTCCCTCATCCCCCCTTCACAGTCCACATAACCATCCCGGAGAACAATCGGCGCTTTTCTTTCAACCAAAAAGGATTTGGTAAGTTTAATTTCAGTTATTTAATTCAATTTAATTGTAGTTGCGTGGATATTTTGTCCTTTGTCTCTGATGTTGACATTGTGCCGTCATTTGATTTTCTTTGCTGAGCCCTTGATTTTGATGTTTTTTTTTCTTCTTCAGTGAATTGCTGATTATTGATTGTTTTTCCATGCATGTTCTCGTATTAGAGTTATTGGTATTGGAGTCACCAGTGTTTTTGGTTGCATTTCAGTTACTTTTGACAGGTGTAAAGACTTGACAGATATAAGGATTTGATTTTGTCATATTTAAGGACTTCTAAACACCAGATTGTATTGGAATGTGTGGATGGATGAATGTCTGGTTGGTGTATTTTTTTTTTTATTATAGCTCAGTATGTATCTGTCTATCTGTCTGTCTTTAAATTTATATTAGTATATTTATATGTAATTTTAAAATATATTTATTCAAGGTGAAAACAGTGTAAATTGATTCACTTTTGACAGCTGTTTGTTTAATACGTAAATTGCTATACAAGTGTGAATTTGGGTACTTTTTGTTTATGTTGAGAAACAACCAGCGGTATTTTTAAGTAGTTTCAGCTCAGTTACTTTTGTTTTGACTGATATAAGGATTTTATTTGTGCAGATAAAAGCATTTGATATTGACAGATTTAAGGACTTGTAATGACCAGTTTGTATTAGAATGTGTGGATGAACTGTTTTGCCTCAGTATTTATTTATCTACCTGTCTGTCTTTAGAAATCTATTGAAGGTAAATTCAGGAAAATTGGGTCATTTACATTGAGTAAATCAACCAGTGACTTAAGAAAACCTGGTTCCGTAACGTTTTCATTTTGTTAGTACCGACTTGGTACCGAAATACCGGGTCTTTTGACAACACTACAGTGGTCATTTAGTTTAAGCTCAGTTACTTTTGACAAGTATAATATCTATCAAAATATGTCCTTATTAGAATTTCTAAGGACCACTTTGTTTGGAATGTATGAATGTGGACAGTTTATTTATTAATGAAGATACGTATTTGCTTAGATCTTAATTAAGTTATGTATATTATGAAGTATACTTAATATTATGAAGTTACTTAGAATAAATTTTGCTTGTCATAACAAAGCTTGCATATCTGACAATGTGATGCACAGTTCATCTCAGACCTAGATGCACCTGATAACTTCACACTGATTTTAACCTGGTAACGTTATTTGGCTTAGCCCTCAGACGTCAGGCATTATGGTTTAGTTAATCTGTCATATATATTAAATATATATATATTATATATATTATATATGTCATATACATAATTATTAAAACTGAATTTACATTGAGTAAAACAACCAGTGGTATTTTAAATAGTTGCAGCATCTTTCCTTTTGAAAGCTGTAAGGACTTCTAAGAACTAATTTAGGTTTGAGTGTGTGTGAGCTGGTCTATTTATCTATCTGCTTCATCTACACTAAAAACTGTAATGTTGTGAAATATTATTACGGTTTAAAATATCTGTTTTCTATTTGAATGTATTGTAAAAAGGAATGTATTCCTGTGATGGTAAAGCTGAATTTTCAGTAGCCATTACTCCAGTTTTCATGATCCTTCAGAAATCATTCTAATATGCTGTTTTGGTTTTCAATAAACGTTTATTATCAATGGTGATGAACAGTTGCATTTTTTGATTTGTGTTTTTTTTTTTTTTGGTGGAAATTGTGATACATTTTTCCAGGATTCTTTGAGTAGAAAGTTCAAAGGAATTTATTAACTTGCAAAAGTGTAAAATGTATGCTTTCTGTTTGCATTGAATAAAATGTCAAATAAATAAATACATAAAAACAGCTGAAGCTCAGTTACCTTACATTCCTTACAGGAATGTATGAATGAATGTGGACAGTTTATATTAATGAAGGTGCTTTTTATTTGCTTAGTTCTCAAGTTATCGTGTGTATGTTATACATGAATAATGTTTGCATGTCATAACGCTATTTGGCAACATAGATGGAGTTAT